GGGGGACCCGGGGTGTGGGGCCGCCATGCCGGGGCTGGCCGTGAGCAGGCCCCGGGGAGGACTCGGGGGTACGCTGGGAGCCCTGCGTCCCCGTGGTGAGATGTCACCTGCCCTCCTGGACGCCCCAGGTACACGGCAGGTGCTGGCACACCTGCAGTGTGCGCAGCGTGCTGCAACACATCCAGAGCAGCACGCAGTGCACCCAATGCATCACATAGAGCACCCTGTGCAACAGGGGTAATGGGGCGTGGGGACAGCAGGCATGGGGTTGGGGCAGTGGCGCATGAGGGTGACAAGGCCTGCGGACAGCAGGCATGGGGACAGGGCAGTGGGGCACAAGAGTAACAGGGTGTGGGGACACGTCGTGTCCCCCTGTCCTTGTCCCCTCCCTTGGCTGCTTCCCACCCGCCCCAGGCAGGTCCTGCCTGGCCCCGGTGATGGCCACAGCCCCAGGCAGTGCGTGGTGGGGACGGCCCCAGCCTTTATTGAGCCTCAGTGCTGCCTGACCTGCTGGCCCGGCCCCGCCCACGCTCTGGAGGGTGAAGCCGCCTTGCGTCAGGTCCCCTCCGTCCCCGCTCTCTCTGCCTGGGCCTTGCCCTGGCGCCTTCCCCTGGGCGGAGAGGCGTGGTGTTGGGGGCTGCAGCAGGGGTGGAGGGGAGTGGGGACAACAGGGCACGAGGATGTGGTTACGGGGACGGTGGGGCAGGGGGATGGAGGTTGAGGGTGGTGGAGGACAGGGCAGTGGGGCATGAGGGTGATGGGGCATGGGGACAGCAGGCATGGGGACAGGGAAGTGGGCCATAAGGGTGATGACATGTGGGGACAATGGGCATGGGGACCAGACAGCAGGGCACAAGGGTGATGGGCATGGGGACAGCATGCATAGGGCTGGGGCAGCGGGGCACGAGGGTGATGGGGCATGGGGACAGCATGCATAGGGCTGGGGCAGCGGGGCACGAGGGTGATGGGGCATGGGGACAGCATGCATAGGGCTGGGGCAGCGGGGCACGAGGGTGATGGGGCATGGGGACAGCATGCATAGGGCTGGGGCAGCGGGGCACGAGGGTGATGGGGCATGGGGACAGCATGCATAGGGCTGGGGCAGCGGGGCACGAGGGTGATGGGGCATGGGGGCAACAGGCATGGGGATGGAGCAGGCATGGGGATGGGGTGTGGGGACAGTGGCGTGGGGACAGGGCAGCTCCTGCCGTGAGCTGTGTGTCCATGAGGTGCTGGAGGCTGCAGGGGTGGGAAGGTCCCCTGGGCAGGGCTGGCCTGTGGCTGACAGTGTCCCCCTGTCCCCAGGGCAGAGGTGGCCTTGGTGAAGGTGGGCAAGGCCACACCGGCCGCCCTGGGGGCCACCAGCAGCCCCTTATCATTCCTTGGGATTGCGCCGTGGAGGGCAGTGTCTCTGCGTCAGGTGTCCTCCTCTCCTCTGGCATGTCTGGGGTGCCGGTCTGCCTCCTGTGCAGGTGCTCGCCCTGCAGCCGCAGGGCCACTGCCACCACAGATGGGACTGGGGGCTCCACGGCAGACCCTGGCCCAGTGCCGGGACCCGTGCCTGTGCCCATCCACCTGGCTTGTCCCCATCCCCGTCCCCTTGCCCACCTGCCAGCGTTGGGCTGGGATGCTCCAGGAGGGGCATGAAGGACCAGCACGCGTCCTCCTCCTCAGTCCCTGTGGGATGGCCCCACGGTCACTCCTGCCCACTGCGCCCCACCACCACGTGCACTGCTGGGACCCCCAGGGACCAGGGGGCTCCGCTTGCCTGGACACCTACCAGGTGCTCCGAACTCCACCCTGCACACATAGTAGGTGCTGCACACCTGGAGGAGCTCACTGGCCCTCTCGCTCAGCCTGGTCACCTGGAACAGCAGCTTGGGGGTGGCCAGCTTGTCACACAGGTTGATGACATCTGGAAAAGCTGGGGGGGGAGGCGGGGAGCTGCCGGCGTGGTGAGCCAGGGACCCCCCACCTCACCACTGCGTCTACACCATGGGGAGCCTGTGTGGCATCCCACTGGAGATGGGACAAAGTGCTGCTGCCAAGGCGTGGGGGGAGCTGCAGCCCCACAGCCAGGGCTCACCGGTGTCGGGGACCCCCACCATCCTCCTCACGTAGGAGAGCAGCCACAGGACGGCGCAGTTGGTGTTGGCCAGAAAGCTCTGGTCATCTGCAGGGAGAGTGGCGGTGGCTGAGGGCAGCAGGCAGACCTGGCAGCGGCTGCAGAGCCCAGATGCCAAGCCCGGTGAGGCCACGGTGCGTCCCCCCCTGTGCCCGGGGAGCAAGCACCCGTGGGATGGCCAATCCTCCTCACGTAGGAGAGCAGCCACAGGACGGCGCAGTTGGTGTTGGCCAGAAAGCTCTGGTCATCTGCAGGGAGAGTGGCGGTGGCTGAGGGCAGCAGGCAGACCTGGCAGCGGCTGCAGAGCCCAGATGCCAAGCCCGGTGAGGCCACGGTGCGTCCCCCCCTGTGCCCGGGGAGCAAGCACCCGTGGGATGGCCAGGAGGGGACTGTTGTGTGTCCGGGGAGCAAGCACCCGTGGGATGGCCAGGAGGGGACTCGCCCCCGTGCTTGATGTAGATGAACATGCTGCTGTGAGCCCGGGACGGTGGGGCTGGGGCAGTGGGGCTGGACCCCACCGCACGGCATTTGTTCGGTCAGAGCTGGGCGGGATGCGGGGTTCTGCCGGTGCTTCCCCCAGACCCTGCGAGATGAGCCTGGACGAGCCCCCAGCGCAGCAGAGCTTTATTGCAGTGGGAAACCCGGGGCACAGGCAAAGGAGCGGCAAGGCCCCGGGGGACACAGCCGGGCTCGCCCGGTGCCCCAGGGACAGCAGCCCTCGGGGCCGGGGGTCACATGGTGGCTTGGCCTCTCTGGCCCTTGGCACTCCTCAGCCCCGGTGTCCGCGACGGTCGGCCGGTGGCTCCTGCCTGCTCGGCCACAGCTGCCCTCTCACCGGGACATGTCCCTCGGTGGGCTTGCGGGCACCTCGGAGCAGGGAGGGGGCATGAGCGAGCCCCCAGCAGCTCCAACACGCCCAGTGTGGGTGCCCATGGGAGAGCAGTGTGGGAGCCCATCAGCCCTCCCACGGCTCTGCTCCGCCGCAGCAACCTCGCAAGGGATCCTGCACGCAGCAGGGCTCATGGTGGGATGTCACCCTGCCCTCCTGGACACCCCAAGGACAGGGCAGGTGCTGGCACACTGTGCATTGCGCACAGTCTGCTGCAACGCACCCAGAGCAGCAGCCAGTGCACCCAATGCATCACATGCATGCAACGAATAGTGCACCCAGGGTGCTATGCGCTGCATGCAGTGCACCCATTGCACCACTCAGTGCACCCAGCACACCGCGCTCACCTAGCACCCTGCAGTGCAGTACAGCTGCCGTGTTGTGGGGGGCTGAGTGTGGCCATGGCAGGGAGCAGGGCTGGGGGTCCAGACATTTGGTGGAGGCAGGGTGGGAGCAGGGAGTGAGGCCCGCAGGCTGGTGAGGTTTTGGGCAGCGGAGGTGTGGGACGTGCGGGGTGCAGGGGTGCAGGAGTGTGTCACACTCCCACGTAGCTGTTCTTGTAGGGGCTGTGCTCGCGGGGGGCAGCCAGGGCCCCAGGCATAACAGACGGTGGGTGGTTGCTGCTCTCCCAGAGGGGCTCATAGCTCTCCTTGGGGGGCAGCTCGCTCACATAGCAGATGTTCTCACTGTAGTTGGGCTTGAAGCTCTCCACGACATCTTTGGGGACTCCGGCCCATTCCTCCGGGGAGCAGAGCAGGGTGAGAGGAGCCACCACCCAGCCCAGCCCCAGCCCCGCGGGGCAGGGGGTGAGCCCGGGGGCAGGGCTGCCCACAGCCACCTTACCTGGAAGTTGCCGTTGTGGGTGATGAAGAGCTCGTCAAAGTTCTTGCTGGGGTTGGGGATTCGGGGCATGAGGATGACCCACACCCTGCGCAGGAGAGACGTGTCAGAGGGGAAGGGCCCCAGCGCTGCTGCCCCCCACCAGCCCCCCAGGCTCACCTTTCCATGCGCACCAGCAGGACGACGAGGACCAGCAAGAGCAGGCAGGAGGCAATGGGGATGAAGACCGTGTGGATCCAGAACCAGTGCAGCTGCTCCTCTGCCGTACCTGGAAAGAGCCAGGGTGACATGGACCCCCGGCTGGTGCACCACCACGGCAGTGGGGTGGGTACACCGGTAGCCCTTCGTGGGTGGCCATGGCATTGTCCGTGGCAGGGCTGAGCTGGGAGCGGAGGATGGAGAAGGGGCCTGTCCCCAAGCCCTGCCATGCTGTCACCATAACTGGCAGGTGACCCTGTCCTGGACCGGCCGTGCCAGAGCAGCCCTCCAGAGCTAAGAAACCCCTGGCAAGGGGGACCCAGCATGTCCCACTGGTAGGGGGTGTTTGGCTTCCAACACTGTTGTCACTGCTGGCCAGGACACGCATGCAGCCCTTGGAGCCCCAACGGGGAACCCCACTGCCCCGTGCACCTCGCCTTGCCCATCGCAGTGCTGCCAGCAGCTACCTTGCCCATCAGGGAGCTACGTCAGGCCTTAATTTCTGGAGCAGCTCGGCGTGCCACCGCAAGGTGACCCAGAGGGTCAGGGCAGCACCAGCAGGGATGGCAAAGCCGTGGGGCAGAGCACCCTGGGGCTGAGCCGTGCAGCAGCACGGAGCAATCTTGGAAATTCTTGAAGTTTGCAGGAGATAACTTCTTGTCACAAGTAGTCAGTGAGCCAACTAGGAAAGATGCCCTTCTAGACTTGCTATTTGTGAACAGAGAAGGACTCGTGGGAGATGGTGATGGTAGGGTGGCTGTCTTGGCCACAGTGATCATGAAATGGTTGAGTTTAAAATTTTCTGTGTGATGAGAAAAAAGGACAGCAGAGTTGCTACCCTGGACTTCAGAAGAGCAAACTTTAAGCTATTCAGGGAGCTATTTAGCAGAGTACCCTGGGACTTTGCTTTTGAGGGCTTAGGAGTCCACAAGTGCTGGTCAGTTTTTAAGAAGCACCTTTTAGAAGCACAGGAGCAGGCAATCCCAGTGAGTCAAGCAAGCGGGGCAGAAGACCAGCTTGGCTGAACAGGGAACTCCTCGTGGAGCTCAAGAGGAAAAAGAAATTGGATGATCTCTGGAAGCGAGGTCAGGCTTTGCAGGAAGATTACAGAGCTGTGCTTCGTATATGCAGGGAGGAGACACGAAAGGCCAAAGCTCAATTAGTGTTGAACCTGGCCAGTGTTGTGTCAGATAACAAGAAGGGCTTTTTTAAGTACGTTAATAGCAGGAGGAGGTCTAAAGAAAACATTGGACCGATACTTGTTGAAGATGGTCATCTGACTAACAGGGATGAAGAAAAAGCGGAGGCATTCAATGCTTTTTTTGCCTCAGTCTTTAATAAAACGGACAGACCTTGGGCTGCCCGGTCCCCTGAGTCGGAGGACCACGGGTATGGGAACAGTGACTTTCCATTTGTGGACACTGAAATTGTCAGGGACCAGCTGTATCAGCTGGATGTTCACAAGTCCATGGGGCCTGGTGGGATTCATCCCAGAGTACTGAAGGAGCTAGCGGATGTTATGGCAGGACCCCTCTCGATCATCTCCCAAAGGTCTTGGGAGTCTAGGGAGGTCCCTGCTGACTGGAAGCTAGCCAATGTTATTCCAATTTGCAAGAAGGGCGTGAGGGAAGACCCAGGAAACTACAGACCTGTTAGTTTAACCTCACTTCCTGGAAAAATTATGGAGAAGGTCATACTGGGTACTACTGAAAGGCATTTAAAGAATAATGCAATCATCAGGCACAGTCAACATGGATTCACAAAGGGAAAGTCCCGTTTAACTAATTTGATATCCTTCTATGATAAGGTCACCCACCTAGTGGATGAAGGGAAGGCGGTGGATGTAGTTTTTCTGGAGGCTTTTGGTACCGTCCCTCACAGCATCCTTCTGGACAAGTTGTCCAGCTGTGGGACGAGCAGGTTCATGGTGCGCTGGGTGAAGAACTGGCTGAAGGGCAGAGCTCAAAGGGTTGTAGTGAATGGGGCTACATCTGGCTGGCGACCGGTCACGAGCAGTGTTCCTCAGGGTTCAATTCTAGGGCCAGTCCTGTTCAACATATTTATCAACGATCTGGATGCAGGAGTTGAATGCACCATTAGCAAGTTTGCTGATGATACCAAACTGGGAGGTGCTGTTGACTCTCTTGAGGGAGAGGATCTAGATAGATTGGAGCATTGGGCAATGCTTAATGCGATGAAATTTAACAAGTCCAAGTGCCAGATTCTGCACCTGGGATGGAGTAATGCCAGGCACGAGTATAAATTGGGAGAAGAGTGGCTGGAAAGCAGCCCCGCAGAAAGGGATATGGGGGTGCTGGTCGACAGCAGGCTCAATATGAGTCAGCAGCGTGCCCTGGCAGCCAAGAGGGGCAAACTGCATCCTGGGGTGCATCAAACACAGTATAACCAGCCGGTCAAAAGGTCCAGAGGAGGGCAACAAAGCTGGTGAAAGGGCTGGAAGGAATGTCCTAGGAGGAGCGGCTAAGGACTTTGGGCTTGTCTAGTTTGGAGAAAAAGGAGGCTGAGGGTTGACCTCATTGCTCTCCACAGCTTCCTGAGGCGGGGAAGAGGAGAGGGAGGTGCTGATCTCTTCTCCCTGGTATTCAGTGATAGGACCAGCAAGAGCAGGCAGGAGGCAATGGGGATCAAGACCATGTGGATCCAGAACCAGTGCAGCTGCTCCTCTGCCGCGCCTGGAAAGAGCTGGGTGATGCGGACCCCCAGCCAGTGCACCGCCACAGCAGTGGGGTGGGCACGCTGGTGGCCATTCGTGGGTGGCCATGGCATCATCTGTGGCAGGGCTCAGCTGGGAGCGGAGGATGGAGAAGGGGCCTGTCCCCAAGCCCTGCCACACTGTCACCACAACTGGCTGGTGACCCTGTCCTGGGCCGGCCATGCCAGAGCAGCCCTCCGGGGTTTCTTACCCCTGGCAAAAGTCAGCAGGTCCCGCTGGCAGGGGGTGTTTGGCTTCCAGAAGCGCAAAGAATGCAGGGGCTGATGCTGCTGCCTGCGCCCCAGGTGCCCGGACGGGTCTCGCCCCTACAGCTGCTGCCTCGGGCCAGTTTTCCACCTGCTTGGCCATCCCTTGCCTGCTGAGCCCCACCATGCCCTAGCCCGTCCCATCCCACCGCAGCCCCCAGGACCTACCCTTGCTGGTGGAGTTGCTGCCCCAGACCACGGGGACACTCCACTCACTCCAGAGCTGGGTGCTGCCGCAGTAGCTGTTGATCTTGCTGCGCACGTAGAAGGTGTAGTACTTCTCATAGTCCACGCTGGGGAGGGAGAAGACGTCTCCTTTCACCTGGTGCTCCTGCAGAGAGACGTGGGCCATGCAATGAGGACCGGCACTGCCATGGAGGCTGGTGCACGGCTCGTCCCTGGGCACAACTGCAAGGGTACCGCGTCCGGGGGGCTCTCACCGTCCAGCTGGTGTCCTTGTTGCTCCTGTACTTGACGGCGTGCTCCAGGCACTGGGCTTTGGGGTACGGGGAGGTCCAGGTCAGCTGCAGCTGGTTGCTGCTCATGTTGCGGATGGTCAGGTTGACGGGCGCCTCCGGTTTCACTGCAAGGCACAGGTGATGCCCAGTGAGCGCCGTCCCCGTGCTCCGGTGGCCCCACCACCAGCCAGAACATGATGGGGCAGCCCTGGGTACCCACAGCCCCGCAGAGAAGAGTGGGTGCCCCCCACCACTCCGTACCCAGGTCCTGCAGCTGCATGCGCTCGCTGGGGATCTCCAGGGTCCTGCCGCCAAGGCTGGCATTGACGAGGACATGGAAAGGCTGGAACTGGATGATCTCGCTCTGGTTGAGGCGGCAGCCGATGCTGATGCCCTGGTCCTGCAGGTAGTGCTTGCACTCCACCACGGGGGACCTGTTCTCATACCTGTGCCGCAGCGGGTTACTGGAGCTCCCTGAGACCCGGCACGCCCCATCCCTCCCCAGGAACCCTCTCCCCAGCACATCCCATCCCGCTTGCCCCAGAGACGGAGCCTCCCCCACCCTGGGCTCGGGGAAGAGGAGCAGGCCGATGCTGGGACCAGTAATGCTGGCAGGAGCCTCCTGTGTGGGGACCCACTGCTGGACACCCTGCTGTGGGGCTGGCCATGGGGCAGGGGCACCTACCAGTAGTAGAGGGAGTAGTTGGCCGTGAGTGTCTCTCTGCTCCCCCACGTGCAGGTCAGGTACTCCTCGTTGAAGAGGACACACTCCACCCCTGCAAGGGACAGACACTGCTGGGCACCGCGGTGGCGGGCGGCTGCGCCAGGGCCTAGGGGTGCACCAAGGAGACACAGCATATGCCAGGGGTCCCTGCACATCCCCGTCAGCCGCCTTCCATGTGAGCCAAACAAGCACAGCTCTTCCTGGCGGAGCTGCAATGCAGCCTGCCTGCAATGCCAGGCCCGGACCATCCTGTTCACACATGCCGTGCTAGTGATGCCCGGGCTGACAGCAGCCCCACATCTTCCTCCGAAGGACTGCCAGCCAAGCAGCTGTCCCTCCTGCATCCTTGCTGTTGGCTCCTCATGCTGTGGATGTGGTGTTTCACTCCAATTCCTCCATCTGCTCCCCTTAGTCACCCCGTGGCTGCTGTTTGCAGCCCCTTGCACTGTGGGACAGGACGGAAACCCCTCCCTGCCAACCCATTTTGCTTGTCCCATGAGAAAATCGGGGGGTTTCCAGGATTTGTGCCTGATGTGCCTGATGACGGTTGGACTCGATGATTGTAGAGGTCTTTTCCAACCTTAATGATCCTATGATTCTATGTCTCTATCCTGGCTAAATTCATCTCGTTGTTGCCCTTGTGAGATGGTGCTTGCAGGTGCCCACGCATCCCTGTGTCTGGGTGATGGGGGCTATGCTGCGCTGTGCTTCCCACTGCAGCCCCTCCACCACAGGGGCCTGATGTGCTGATGACGGTTGGACTCGATGATTGTAGAGGTCTTTTCCAACCTTAATGATCCTATGATTCTATGTCTCTATCCTGGCTAAATTCATCTCGTTGTTGCCCTTGTGAGATGGTGCTTGCAGGTGCCCACGCATCCCTGTGTCTGGGTGATGGGGGCTATGCTGCGCTGTGCTTCCCACTGCAGCCCCTCCACCACAGGGCAGGGACCGAGCCCCGGTGGTTTGATCTCTGCAGGAAACACCGCCGAGCCCTGGGAGGCTGAGCAGCCACTCCAGGCGCCCACACCATCTCCTCTGCTCCCTCCTTCCGCCACGCTGTGCCGGCTCTGGTCCTGCCCACGCAGCCACATCCTGGGCTGGCTGGGGGCTGCAGGGCCACCGGGGTGGTGCTAGTCCCTGTGCCAGGCATTGCACCACAGTCTGCTCTGGCAGCCACTGTCACGGCTCGCTGCGGGACGAGCTCCTCCGATGGACCGAGGTGCCTCGCAGAGCCCTTGCAAGTGCCAAACCAGCTGCTGGTGGCTGAGAGCTGTCCTGGAGGCTCCCAGAAAATGGGATTTTTTTCCTCCTAAAAATCAGGCAACGGGACACCTTGTCCCTTCTGAGGTCCAAACCTATCAGCCAGCACTGTGGGGGCAGGAGAAAGCCAGAGCCGGGCTTCCCTGGGTTGTAATGTAACGTGACGGAGCAAATGGGCTGCGCTCCGGCTGTTTCCATACACGGCGATGGAGGACACCTTCCCGGCAGCCCAGGAAATCCAGGGATACAGAGGAGCTGTGTTTCCACGGAAAGCTGGTGTTTTACTGACAGCCAGCCAAGAAGTAGATTTCTTCTCAGAAAACAACAGCTGGGGCGAGGGTGCTGGGCAGAAAGAGGAGCTGCTGTCCTCCATCCCCTGCCTGTGTGCGGCACCGCTGACATGACTGGGATGGAAAGGGTGGCTGGCACAGATCTGCCAGCTGCCGCCCTGCCCAGCTGATGCATGGGGCCGATAGGATCTGCGCATCGCATCCTGCCACTGCCCCCCACCCCAGCCCACCAGGGGGGACCCCCATGGCCAGGGTCCCTCCTGGCAGCGCTGCCTGCATGGCTGGCAGCCCCAGGGCTGGCAGAGCTGTGGGGCTGGGAGCTGTGGGGCCAGTAGAGCCATGGGGCCAGGAGAGCCACAGGACCAGTAGCCATGGGGCCGGTGGTGCCAGCGATGCTCCAGCGCCGGGGCAGGAGCAAGGACACCCAACGGGGCTCCCTGGCACAGCCCGGCTCTCCCGGCAGCCCCACTGCAAGGGGCCATGTAGGTGCTGGGGGTCCCGGGGCGCATCGCGGGGTCGCGGGGTCTCTGGCGCACGCGCCAACAGCTTGCTGGCCCACACAGCCCCACGTCCTGTCCTCCTCGCCCGCCATCACCGGGGAGCAACATCCCCCAGCCCCACCACACATGGTGCACTGCGGCCTCCCGCCCCACCCTGGGGCCCATGTGCTCCCTTACCTGGGGGGCTGTGGGCAGCAGCAAGGTAGGGGCCCAGCCCGCAGAGGAGGAGGAGGATGGGCACGAGGAAGGCGCCGGGCACCGCCATGGCGGGGCGGGCCGTCGGGCGTGTGGCGACCACCTCCGCGC